TGTAATATTACAATTAAGTCCAAGTACAATGATTCTAGTTTTCAACTTTCATGTTTTATTTTACCAAAAATTACAGACAATTTACCTATTGTAAATTTTGATATTTCCAATTTACAACTTCCACAACATGTTTCTTTAGCAGATCCTTCATTCAATAAGTCAGGATCTATTGACATTTTAATCGGTGCAGATTTATTCTGGGATATATTAATAGAAGGCAAAATTAAGTTGGGAAAAAACTTACCTGTTCTCCAGAACACTTCTTTTGGTTATGTTATTTCTGGCCCCTGGTCACAAACGTCCAATAAAATTCATTGTTTCTTTGTACAAAAAGATCAATTTCATACTGAACTTGAGCAATTTTGGACAATTGAGGAAATTCCTCACACACAATTAATTTCTCAAGAAGATGAGTTTTGTGAAGAGCATTTCAAAAAAACTTATTCTAGAAATAAAGATGGAAAATTCATTGTTCGTATCCCCTTAAAATCCTCTAGGAATGAATTAGGAGATTCAAAAACGTTAGCTCTCAATAGATTTCTCAGTCTTGAGAAACGTTTTGCAAACAATCAGCAATTAAAAGAATTATATATCTCATTTATGCAAGAATATCAAAGTCTAAATCATATGTCTATTGATTTAACATTTGATGAGAATATTCCTTCATACTTTCTACCTCATCATGGTGTTTTAAAAAGTGATAGTTTGACAACTAAATTAAGAGTTGTTTTTAATGGTTCTGCCAGTACTACATCTGGTAGTTCGCTAAATACAATACAATATTCAGGTCCGGCAATTCAGAATGACATTTTTGAAATTCTTTTAAGATTTCGTTTACATAAATATGTAGTCATTTCTGATATTGAGAAAATGTATCGATGTGTTCTTATTCATCCTGATGATAGGCATTTACAAAAAATATTATGGCGAGAAAATTCTACAGATTCTATTTCTATAATGACCTTAAACACGGTAACTTATGGGACTTCTAGTGCCCCTTTCCTTGCAATGAGGTGTTTAAGACAACTGTCGTATGATGTTCAAAATAGTTTTCCTTTAGAAGCAAGAATTATTCTCAAAGATTTCTACGTTGACGACTTGATTAGCGGATTTAACGATAAACAACTAGCACAAGATACTTGTAAGAATATTTCTGAAATTCTGCTATCAGGCGGTTTTAATTTAAGAAAATGGGTATCCAATGATCCAGAAATCGTTAAACAATTAAAAATTAACTCGGATAATTTTAGTGTTTTAAATTTGGGCAATAATGATCCCATTAAAACTTTAGGAATTCAATGGATTCCAAATCTTGATGTTTTATCATTTAATATTCCAAACTTATCAAACATAGCATCGACAAAGAGACAAATCTTGTCAGACATTGCAAAAATTTATGATCCGTTAGGCTTAATTAGCCCTTGTACTATTTTAGCTAAAATTTTGATTCAAAAATTATGGAAACAACAAATCGATTGGGATGAACTAGTCCCTTCAATTCTAATACATGAATGGACACTTTTTAAATCCCAATTACCTTCACTCAACCAATTAAATTTAACTAGACATGTGTTAATTAGTAATTCGCAAAAATATGAAATTCATGGATTTAGTGATGCATCAAACAATGCATATAGTGCTGCTATTTACGTTAGGTCCTTCGATTCAACCGGTCAAATTAAAGTCAATTTATTATGCTCAAAAACTAAAGTAGCACCAGTAAAAATCCTTACTATTCCTCGATTAGAACTTTGTGGAGCTTTAATGCTTGCAAAACTAATGAATATAGTAGTCAAGGCTATAGACTATTCTTTCCAACCAGTCTTTTGGTGTGATTCTCAAATTGTTCTACACTGGTTAAATTCTGATTCCAGTACTCTTCAAGTTTTTGTTGGAAATAGAGTGAGTAAAGTGCAGCGATTATCTAATGTTAGCTCTTGGTGTTATGTTTCCTCAAAGGATAATCCTGCTGATATAGCCACACGTGGAGTGTTTCCCGATGAATTACTTAGTAATAAAATGTGGTGGAATGGTCCAAATTTCCTCTATGATCTAGAATTTATTCCACAATTTTTCAAAACTAGTGATTCTTTTCAACTCCCAGAAGTAAAATCAAATCACGTGTCTTTATTTTCAAAAAATGACTATTCTGAATTATTTAAAAAATTTTCTACATATACAAGACTTTTACGAGTGCATGCATATTGTTTACGATTTTTAACAAATTTGCGTGTCTCAATTGAAAAAAGACAATTATCTGCTTTAACTATTGCGGAACTGAAAAGGAGTCGTTTAAATCTACTTAAGCTTGCACAAAAAGAATGTTTTGACTCAGAATTACAGTTACTTCAGAATAAAGTTGGATTAGCAAACAAGAATAGATTAAAGGCTCTAGCTCCATTTATTGACTCTAACGGTTTATTAAGAGTAGGCGGTCGCTTGAGTAATTCTAATTTGGAATATAATCAAAAGCATCCAATATTATTAAATGGTAAACATATCTTCACACGTTTGATTTTAGAACATGAACATAAGGTCTTACTGCACGCAGGTCCACAGCAGTTATTGTATACTGTCAGACAAAATTATTGGCCCACGTCCGGAATGACCTTAGCAAAATCAGTAGTTAGACAATGCATCAAATGTTTCAAATTTCAGCCTAAGTCAGTTACTCCGTTTATGGCAGATTTACCTCAATCGCGACTTAATATATCGTTTCCATTTGATCATACTGGAATTGACTATGCGGGACCCTTTATTTTAAAGGATAGAAAGGGTCGTGGCTGCAAAACTTTTAAGGCATATCTTTGTATTTTCATTTGCTTCAGTACAAAGGCTGTCCATTTAGAATTGGTCACCGCACTTACAACTGATGCTTTCATTGCTACACTTAGAAGATTTACTTCTCGTCGTGGTAAACCATCTAACATTTACTCAGACAATGGTTCTAATTTTGTTGGCGCACAAAATAAATTAACACGTCTTTATGATTTTTTATCAGTTTCTTATAACAGTTTTGTCGATTTTTTGTCAGAACAGAATATTGTGTGGCATTTCATACCCCCAAAATCACCTTCATTTGGCGGATTGTGGGAGTCAAACATAAAATGTGTGAAGGTTCATTTGTCAAAAACCATCGGGAATACCTTACTAACCTATGAAGAATTTATTACTGTTCTTAATCAAATCGAAGCAACGCTAAATTCCCGTCCTCTGTATCCCATGTCCTCAGACCCCAACGATCTTATCCCTTTAACCCCATCTCACTTCTTAATCGGAAGACCTCACACAACTGTTCCTGATCCAGAATTCGAAGAAAAAATTAAGCACAATCAGTTATCTCGATTTCAATTGCTACAACAGCTTAACCAGACGTTTTGGAACCGTTGGTCTAATTCGTACCTTAACGAACTTCAGACAAGGAAAAAGTATGCCGACCATACTATAAATTTAAATATTGGTACTTTGGTTCTTCTCAAAAATGAGGGCCTACCTCCATGTCAATGGCTCTTAGGCCGAATTATCGAAACCCATCCAGGAAAAGATGGACTCGTCCGAGTGGTTACAGTAAGAACGTCAAAGGGAGTTCTTAAGCGAGCAGTTACTAAGATCTGTCCACTTCCAATTCCAATTGAACGAAGCGTTCAAGGTGGGGAGTATGGTGATGAACAACCGACAACGGCGCACGGTTCCGTGCCATAACCCTCTTACGGCAGCGGCAGCGATGGTAGTAAGCGGCATTGAACCAGCTACCAAATTAAACTAGTTTTTTTTCAATGTGTTTTAAAGTTACAATATATTTATGCTACAAAATAAAATAGTAAAGTTTATTTCTTCACCAGTAATTTCAGTTGATTCGTGAAATAAAACGTGTCTAAGTAAAAGTTTTTATGACAAAACAATTTATATAAAAGACTTAAAATACTCACCAAATGATCGAAACACATCATAAAATGTGATTTAGAACAAAATATTTAAAAAAAAATTGATAATTTCACCGAAATCTGAAAAAAAAGATAGAATTTTTTTGTAACTTTAATTTTGACCTAGAATAACTCCTACATGGTTAAAATAATCAAAAATTTTTCAAAGACTTTTTGTAGAGCGTCAAATTTCCTATAAGAACAATTTTTGGTTTGACAATCCATTCAACCGCTTCATAGTTACAAAATTCCAAAATTAAAAAAAAAAAATTCCGTGTTATTTAAATGGGAAATAGAAATCTGCGATATTAATATTAAGGGCTCTCGTTTTCACAGGTATCTTTTAACACCTTCTCGAAAGTTTTTACATGAGGATTTCGAAAAAAAAAATTAATTATTTTTTTTGAATCAGCCTCTAGGTATATAGAATTAATAAATACAAATAAAAAACTCTGCTTTGTAATTACAATTTAAATAAAATAAATAATACAACAATATTATTTTTTTTTGTACTAAAATATTGATAGAAATTATTCTATGCTAAGAACTCCGTGAGTAGCAAATAACAAATTCAACGGATCGATAATTCATTTTGGTGAGTAGATTATTTTACCAAATATTTGACTACAGGCACTACTGGTTAGGCAGTCCCGCAGTACAGAATTCGACCGCAAATCCTCTGCAAACTCTGTCCTTAATCCCAGTTATTATCAGTTTAATGTATTTTTTCTCGTTATAGTTTAGTGTTTTTCAGGAAAGTACGCAATTAATTTTGAAGTGTGACAGCAGTGTAAATCAAGGGTAAGTAGACCTAAATTTATTCATAAAAAGCATATTTGCTTCTCAGATAAACATACTCGCACAAACCATCCCCAGTCAAATTAGCAGCTTTCCCCTTCTTTTTAATGTAACAGACGATGCGACAGCTTTTTCTGCCTAGTAATAAACAAAATATGAACGATTGCAATGAAAAGGGCCTAATTATGAATGAATGGATTATTCTAGTAGTTTTCGTCGTTGGTTTGATGGTTTGAAATCATAAGACTGTTAAATAATACATTTCTTAATCTTATATATTATATATTATTTATAATAATAATAATTCTGAAACCATACATGAAGAAGTTTGATTTTAATTTTAAATATTTTCCAAATCAAGCCATATTCCTCCTTCAACGGCTGGTGTTCTATTTGATGTAAATTTGATAGGTAGCTGAGTTTTCCCGTTCAGAGTAACTTTGTATCTCGAAATTATGGCAACTATAGCGATCTTCGATTGGATCTTGCCAAATCTTAAACCTGAAATTAAAATTAGTATTAATATTACATTCATGGATAAACAGAAGTGCTCTAGCTTCAGTGTAAAGACACTTTAAATATTATATTGATTTCACAATACAAATTTATTGAAAAAGTACAGATTAAAGCTTCGTTTGACTAAATACTAATTTTTACTTCTAAAAATATCTATAGCCCAAGACCCCACTTTGATAACAAAATGAAATATACAGGGTGTCCCAGCTAAAACTTGTCACCCCCTTAATCTCAGAACTCTTGAAAAAAATTGAAAATCGCTCAGACCCGTCGATTTTTATTTCAAGGGGGAACACTTTCACCAAATACATCATCATTGTGGGTCTGAGCGATTTTCAATTTTTTTCACGAGTTCGGAGATTAGGGGGGTGACAAGTTTTAGCTGGGACACCCTGTATGTCAAAGGCATGTAAAAACATTGTACCATACCAAAGGGCACCTGTGTCAGTCAGGTGCCAGTCACTATCTTTCGCAAAGGAATTAAAAAATATATTTTATATTCAAAAAATTACAGAAAATAACATTTTAGAGACATCGCATCATATCTGCCAATTGCTGTTGTTTGGTTTGATTATAGGTTTGATATAAATAAACAAATTTAACTTTGGTTTCATTAATTCAATATTATACCTCAGAGATACTAGGGCGAAGATCTCAATGTTGATCACGTGATTTTCCAGGAACTTGAGCTTATAATTAAGATGAGTACGAAAAGTACACAGTTTTAACACTTTTTGCTTTGACGTGTCTTTAAACTAGCGTTTTGTCTTCTATCATATACAGAACGCTAAAGTCTATTTTTATGTATGAGAGAGTAATAAAACAGCATTTCTAATGCAAAACTTAGTACGGTCATTTTAAATATTTTTACAGAATAATCTAAATATTTCCTAAAATTGTAATAAATGTACCTGAGCTATTATTAGTTTTGGGTCTTTTATTGGTCCTTTATAAACATAAGCTGTACATAACAATAGAAAAAGGTTTGGACAGGCCGAAAGCCCTGTGTATTAAAGATTACATAGCCGTATCTTAAGATTATTTTCAATAAGTACCTATTTGCCAATTTTGTTTTATTTTAATTCCAAGAACTTCTTACAGTGTGATCATGGAAAATTTGGAAGGGCCGCGTAAACGACAAAAAATCGGTCCTTTAACAGTTAATAAAAAAACATTAATATTTAATTGTTTTAAATCATTTACAGACAAACATTTATGTAAAAGTGTTGATGACACAGTGGAATTAGTTAGTAGTACGCTTGGTGTTGGGAAATCTACGATTTACAGAGTTGTTAAAGAAGAGAAATGTGGCGAGTTTTAAACAGCACGTAAAGCTCCAGGAAAACCAACATTTCAATTAGAAAATCTTTTGAAAGAAAGACTTTGAAGGAAAGTGCTTTAGAAAAGAATTTCCGACAGTAGACAAAGTTCTTGCCACGGTTCGAGATGATAAGGATTACCCTAAAATGAGTCGAAGCACACTATGGAAACTTTTAAAAGAAATAGGTTTTCTATGGAAAGTCTTTTTTAATAGAAAGAAGTGATATTGTAGTATGGAGAAGAAATTACCTAAGGACTATAAAATAAATGAGAAACCAAAGGAGAAATATATTTTATTTAGATGAAACATGGATCAACGAGGGACATAAACCAAATAAATTTTGGCAAGATGAAACTATTACAAGTCGAAGACAGGCTTTTTTAAATAATTTATCTACTGGTTTAAATCCACCATCAGGAAAGGGGCGCAGACTAATAATAGTACACATCGGTAGTTCAAAAGGTTTTGTTTAAGGTGGTTTATTGACTTTTGAATCTACTCGTACCGGTGACTACCATGAGGACATGAATGTTGATGTCTTTAAAGAGTGGTTCGAACAAATTATAGATCTTCTTCCTCAGAACTGTATAATAGTAATGGATAATGCAAGTTATCACTCGAGACTTATAGAAAAAATGTCCACAACCAAGTGGTTAAAAAAAGATTTACAGAATTCAAAGAATATTGAGTTCCTTCCCGGTTCTGTGAGAAAAGAACTGTATCATTTGTGTTCCCTTCATAAAGAGAAATTCCAAAAATATGAAATTGATGAAATTGCAAAAAATCGTGGGATGACGGTGGTTAGATCACCACCATATCATTGCAAAGTAAACCCGATTGAACTGATATGGGCACAGATAAAGGGAGAAGTTTCAAGAAAAAATAATTCTTTTAAAATGAGTGATGTTAAACAGTTGTTTTTGGAGGTTATAAATAATGTGAAACCTGAAAACTGGGAAAAGGCAGTAAATCATACGATTAAAGAAGAAGAGAAAATGTGGAAGTTGGACAATATTACTGATGAAATGATCGAGCCACTCATTGTAAATATTGGTTGCGACAGTTCATCTTCTGATTTCGATTCTGATTTGGATTTGTAGGTAAGAAGTAGTTTTTATATTAAAATTATTATTTATGAACGTAACGTTGTTTAAAAGTCAAAGTTTAAACCCTTATACCTACATAACGTTTGACACAATGTTCTTAACATACCTTGTGGAAAAATAAAACATTTTAGAAAAAATTGCACTTTTTTACCTTTAGCTGTTTAGAAGTTATAAGCAGGTTAATAAGGTGAAAATATAAGTGTTTACTCGAGGAATAACTTCAAAAAATATTTTAACTGTCTACTAAAAGAAGTGCTACGCCTATGGATTACGAACGCTTTAATATTTTAATACTCTCTCATACATAAAAATAGACTATAGTTAAAAGACACCTCAGTGCAAAAAGTGTTAAGAGTGTGCATAATATGTACTTTCCGTACCCACCATTATTTTCCGTACGCTGTGGCATATTTTACTTGTCTTCTCTCAAAATATAAAATATATATATAAATATATAATATATATAAATTTCGATTTAATGTTAAAAAAAATTGAAATAAATTATTTCATGCAGACATTAGTTTCACGACCATTATTTTTTGCGTACTACATTTTGACTTGTAATGATAAAAATTACATATGATATACATGTCATTAAAAAATATGTGCAAAACCCACTGAACTTCCATATGGCAAAACCTAACTCTATGGTTCATTCTTTTTTAATAAACGATAAATCTGAATGGTTGTAATTCGCCTTCATGTATAGATAAATTATTTGTTTTTGACTTTAACAGTAAATATTATTCAATTCAACATACCTACTCTTATTTGACAAATCACATATTTATAATTTCTGCATTTGTGAGAATAGAAATTAGTTTCATTTTGTACTAATTTGAACACTTTTATATTTTCTTTTATGCCTTGTTACATAAATGACTATCCCACCTTGACTTTCCCTTTGTCTTAAACGGTTGAATATTTACTTGATTTTGTGAAAAACATACGGTTATTTCTATAGGTTACTCTAAAGAAAGACAAAGTAATACTAAAAATCCGCATTTTTGTTTTTTACGAAGATGATCACATTTGAGAAGTTGAATGCCCTATACGATACGGTTTTTTTTGCCTTAGAGCTCTGTGTTTGTACATGTAATTATACATAGTGTAGTCGATGATTATACTATTGGAAAAATCCAACGATGCTAAAATGTTTGCAGTATCATAAGATCAAGACAAATATTTTGTAAGTGGGTTTCTCGCCACAGAGAAAACGGTGCCTTACGAATGACGCTGGTTACGGGCGGTTCTCGAGCGCCAGATTTTTGATAATGGTTTACTCCACAAACTTTCGAAACGGCATCGAAAGTACTCGGGTAGCTACAGATGGAGATGAAAAATTCCAGGGGTCAAAGGTCACTTAGACACAGGTAATAGTAGGCCACAAGTAACGGGCTTTAATCGTTGCTTGGGCTGGTACAGAATTTATCACTAGCTGAAATATAAGGGGGAAATAAAGTAGGGAATTATTAACCAGTAATACGGCCGGTTAACGTTGACACATATATTGTGAATAACTATTTACAACAAAAAAAAATTAAATATTTCAACGCCCACCCCAGTTGTGGTGATAGTCAATATAACCCTGAATAAAAAAAAAGAAACAAAACGGACGATATTGATTCGCGACTAGTCTCAATCAGATGTCAAAATTAAATTAAAATAAAATGTGTGTTTCGGTCGCAGAGACAAAAAATTATTAACTTGACTATTTACTCGGTAATTAACTGTTTAACTGTGGTATCGAGAATTAAACTAAAATGTAGGTATTTTGTTATTTAGGTGAGGAAAAATTAGCTAAACGGTCAAAGAGAGTGCGAAGAGACAGGGACGCGAAAGAATTACCTATAGTAAATACGCGGAAAGAAAATAAAAATAAATGTATACCCGGGGTAGCCTATCATCACGAGCCCGTTCAGACAGGGACATTATACTATTTAAAGTTATTTAAATTGACGGTAAAAGAAAAAAAAAATATCGGAGGAAAGGAAATTTACTAACGCGGATAGTACCTACTCCAAGAGTGAACTGATCGTCATTACGAGCCCGTTCAAACAGGACACGATACTATTTAAAATTATTTAAAATTTGCGGTTTACAGATTAACTAAAAAAAATTATAACGCGGATAGAACCTACTCCAAGGGTGAACTGATCGTCATCACGAGCCCGTTCAGACAAGGACAGGATGCTATTTAAGTTTATTCAAATATACGGTAAAAGAATAAAAAAACTATTAAAAGAGGGAAAATGTCTCCTCGAAAATTCCGTTTACAAATATTCCCAACTTAATTACAACGCGACACTTACTAAACAAAAGTGTTTATCAATAAAATCAAATTTAATTCCTGATTTAACCTATCAAAAGAAAAAAAAATAATTTCTTAATACAGACTAACGATCAAAAGTCTAAAATCTCCGGTTTTACAATATTACAGAATTAAATCCTATCATTTATTATTTAGTTCAAATTCTATCCCATTTTAAAAAAATGGTAATATATTTGTCAAGAAATAAATTCAAATATTTATTAATGAAATCAAATTAAATCTTTTTAACTAAACACTATCTATAAAAAAAACGGTAATATTTTTACCAAGAAACAAATTCTAATATTTATTATTTAAATCAAATTAAATCTTTTAACTCAATACGATCTATAAAAAAAAGAAGCGGTATTATTTGCCAAGAAACAAATTCTATTATTTATTAATGAAATCAAATTAAATCTTTAACTAAACACTATCTGAAAATACGGACTCAATATCAAACGTAAAAAGCGGAACAAGGTTTTTTACCTAACGGATTTGTAAATACACGAAAAAGGAAAAAATATCGGCGGTGATTTGATTTATTTGTGGTGCGGCTTATTAGACTCGACTGGTGGCAACCAAAAATTATATCTAACTAATAATTTTAATAGCATCTCGGGTCTCGTTCAACAACAACTGTAGATTCCCTTTTCCATTAGAGACCTCACCTACGCTCGGCGTTCGCGCATCGGTAGATTAGCAGTTCAATCACAACAATCAAAAATGAAAATAAACTGATTGAGGAAAATTGACTTCATTACATCCGCGTTTAATATTTATTAAAAATGAAAAATGAAAATAAATTGATTGAGGAAAATTGACTTCATTACAATTTATCATATAAAATAAAATATAAATATGTTTTAACCCAAAACCTAACATTCTTATGGCAAATGTTCCGATAAATGTTAGAAGTAAACACATATCAACAATAACATGAATACATTTTATTGAAGCACGTTTTAGTAAAAGTTCGTTAAAAAAACCATTATGAAATTACTTCTTTTTAAATAAAAGCTTCCTTTGGTAAAATCGGCCTTAAGGGTTCGATTATAAAATAAGCCAAATACTTAGCAATCTTACCAACACAATTTCGGGGTCCCTCTCCAAACGGTACATACGCATAAGGCGGTATTTTTTTCTTATTTTCTTGATTAAATCGTTCAGGGTCGAATTTGTCGGGTTCGGGAAAATATTCAGGATCATTGTGAAGTCCATAAACTGGTATCACCACTTCTATTCCCGGTTCAATTACAACATCGGTACCAGGAATGGGATACGCTTTGTTGCATTTCCTCGAAAGAGCTGAAGCTGTGGAATTCTTACGTAAGCTTTCTAAAACAACATTTTCAATACGTCAATAAATTTATGCATATGTTCAACTAACGGCATTTTTTTTAATTGGTGCATAACGTTATCTTCGACTATTAGGTATAACATTATTTTAATCAACAACGAACAAAAAAAATCAAAATATCGACTTCCGGTGCAGGTATAAGAAATGCATTTCCAAGCGCTTAGCTCTCCAAATAGCATTTTATTTTATTCTAATGTTATAGGTAATACCTAGAAACAGCATTGAAAAAGTTTTCTTAGAATTCAATGCTTTCATTTCACTCTACTCAAAACATTATGTAAGAAAGACAAAGATGGGTCATAAATTATTTGAAATTTATAAATGGCCGGCAGCTATCAACCATTAATACCATTATACGAGTAAGAAGTAAAAATAGAAATGCATTCTCTCATCAAAATCTATTTTGTATATTAATTACGAATATAGTTCATTGCATAGCCTTTCAGTTGCACGTCACCAAATATGACGTAATATCATGTTTTCGGCATGTCTTTGATTACTACGTGAAATTTGATGGCGACTCTACAAAATTTTGACAGTTGTCAAGATCGTATTCAGCCAAATAGGAAAAGGCTTTGAAATTAATAAAAATTGTGATATCAAAACATTACAAAATAAAACAAAATGTATTTTTAATTGATATTTATTATCATAAATAATATAAAATTAGTAAATAAATTACTAAAATTAGTTATTATAAGACAACAAGGATCACTTGCTGAATAAAACCTACAATAAGAAATTATTTCTGTTTAAAAAATCACAAAAAAATTATTCGATAAACTAATTACCTTGGAAATCATTGAAATTTAACAAAACTGGTAACGTTAAACTTGTAGAACAACAGCCATTTTTGAATACAATACAATAAACGTTTATTATGCGGAGTTGTCTTCTCACAAGTCCCAATCTGATTCGTTATCCGATTCGTTTAAATCAATGATTACAGGAGATATATTACTTGCATCAATAATTTTTCGTGTATGGTGTACATACCTCTTTCGTGTTTCTGGTGTAATCTACAATTACATAACAATTATAAACCATAGCATAAGAAAAAAACTTTGCATACCTTTGCAACTTGTTGAAGAGATTCTCGTTCCAAACACTAATTACAGTATCTGCAGTAATACTTTCTGCCAAAGTTATTTTTGCATCGTAATACCGTTTACACTCAGAACAAACAAGTTCAATTGGATTGAACTGGTAATGATATGGAGGCAGTCTCAACACACGATGTCCATGCAAAAGAGCTAATCTATCTAATCTGTAAAATATGCATTTTTAATATCTTATTAAATTATATCATATCATAACATACCTGTATATTTTATCTGGTACATGTTTCTTAGCAATTTCTAACAATTCGAACATTATACTAGGCATTGGAAACTGTATATTCCTTTCTTTTAACCAATTAATCAGAGAAACTTTGTTCCAACTTGCATTTGGCATTCTTTCGAGCAACGTTGAAAGGTACGACGCATTATCCATTATTAATGACGGTAGAAGCTGATATTCAAACCATCTTTCAAAATTATCAGCATTTATTGAATTATGATAATCGCCAGATTTACTACCACTTTTAAATATCAAGCTACAGTCATTAATAAACCCATTTTCAGAACTCCCATGAAGAACAATGTATTGTACACCTTCACCACTCCTCTTCCTGACTGCCTTATCGGTACCATCCTGCCAGCTTTTGCGAAATCCGCCTCTGCTGAATATCCAAGTTTCATCAAGATATACAGGCTTGAGACGATGAGAATCAGTTTCATTTTTTTTTAAATCTTATAAAAAACAATCTTTTTTGTGTAACATGTGACTGTTCCATGAGATATTTTCTGTTAGAAATGTTACAGCTTATCCACTTGAATTTTAATTATTTTAAAGCCCTACTGAGTGAAGAAACTGATGTATTTATCCCATATACATCTTCTTATTTTTTCTTCAACATATAAAGAGTCACATGCTCACCTACAATAAAAAAAAATGTTACAAAAAAAATTATTAAAACTAACCCTTGAAAATAAACTCATAATGAACCAGTAAACAAATTTGTGTGTGAAATGGAAACATAATAACATTGATAAAGATATTTAAAACCTTATACAATCTAACTTGAAAAATATGTATTTAGTAAATACCAACCTTGACTAAACATTCTGTATATACAAGTCCTGATACCATGTTCATATTTCTCCCAAATATTGGGACCACGGCTAACGCTCACAGAATCGGATATTTTAGCTGAGTATTCGCGATCTGCTTGAATACCTTCATTTGCCAATCGTCCTACAGTCGATAACGATATTCCTAAGGCGGCCGAAACACGCTAAAATTAATTGATCATCAGTGAATTTTTACTAAACTTTAACAGGTGAAACTTACTTCATCTACAGCATTTACAGGCAATAGAGTTTTACTGGCTTGTTTTTCTTATTGGAAATAAGCAAGCAGTTTTAATACAAACGCTTGCTATTTTTCGCTATACCTCGGCATTTTTATAATCAAAATAAATAAATAAAAAAAAAACTAATGGAAGTACTGGTCTGATAAAAACTGTCAGACGTACACTTTGAAGTTTATCAAAAATAGCTAAAGAGCATGTTCAAGTTTTCAATTTGACTATGACGCCATGACGTATAGCAAACGGCAGCCAATGAAATGCCTGTATTGTGTCAATTGTAGTTATTTAATATCTACGTGTAGATCTCTCATGATTTTGTTGCGTCACGGAAATTTCTAATGGACGTACCGTTTTTTGCATTTCTTTCAACTTAATGCGATAAAGCGAGATAGATGCCATATGACGTGCAACTGAAAGGCTATGAAATGAACTATAGTTGACTCAAATTAAATATTTGCTTTTTCTAAATCATAATACTTTACGATGTATTTAGTAAACCACTCGATAACCTAATTTAAAAAAATTGTAAATATGTGTTAAATAATTATTTGTATTTAAAAAAGTCATGAAACATACAAATCATAATCGTAAAGATGCCTCGATGTCGATGACCGATAGGCGATGGTTAAGTGAATATCAATCGATGTAATAAATAAATATAAATTTTTAAATTGCACAATTTTTGCTTTCTTATTTTTTTCAACTGTTTTCAACGTTAGATCCAGTTTTTATAGTATATGAGCAGATTATCCATCGGTTGGTGCAACATTGGGATATATGCCTTAATTGTGGTGGTGGCAGTTTGTAAATATCTTTGTCAATACAGTTTTATGAACCAAGGATGGGTTTCAATTTAAAAACCCTCGAATATAAAATAAACGTATCTAAAAGCCTGAACTTCTAATTACCTTGAAATACCATATCCAAATAATCCATCTCCATGATACCATCGTAAGTTATTTGATTATTATGTTTCTTCATTACTAACTGAATTTCTTCTCTAAGTCGATTTTGAATGTCAGTATGAAGAGCTAATTCAAATAAAGCGAAAGACACTGTGGTTGAAGATGTCTCAAATCCAGCAATATAAAATGTAATAGCTTGAGCAGCCATTTCACTGTACGACAAGTGCTTCATGGTACTGTTCGAGTTAAGACTCTCATTGTCTGCAGTTTCTCCAGTGTTTTTTATTTGAATTAATAGATGCATGAAATCTTTTCGATAAATATTGTTCTTTTCTCTGTACTCGACAATGTCTTTGACTACTTTTATAAAAAAATCTTCTGCTTCTTTATTGGTTAATCTAAATTGTAGAGCAACTAAGAGCCATTGCGGAAAATTATCGGAAATAAATTTTTTGATGATACTTTTGAGCGACAGTTTGAATACGTTTGCGAATTGTTTTCTAAAATCATTCTCGGGGTTTTTCAAGCTATCGACGTCTAAGCCGAATGCTACGGTTAATATAATGTCTGAGTTAAACAGCAACAAACATTTTCTAATATCTACGGGATCGTTTAGAGCGGCATTTTCGTCTAATATTTTTTCTAAGCCTTTGATGCATTGTGTCATGGTATCGAACATCATTTTTATTTTTCCTGAAACAAAAAATGTTTTAACAAATATACTCTATTTTGTAATATCCAAGACGAAAAAAAAAAACAGTTTCAGCATTGCACATTAAACCAAGAAGAACTCAAAACTGGCCGAAATTTTTTGAACTAAAATGACTATGCAGACAATTTACAGAAGTGTCCACTCAATAAGAGTATAGTGTTCAAAAATACATTTTGTCTTTAACACTATATTCATAAATTTCGAAGTGGGAGCTTGGACTATAAAAAATTTGAATATAAATAAAAAATAACATACTAAATACAAAAAACAGTAATAATTACTAAGTAAGTACTTAAAATCTAATTGTGCTTGCAAGTTATATCTAATATTTCAAATATTTTCTAAAAATTATTAATAATAGTAATCGGCCTATAGTTGTTAACATTACTTATATTTCCTTTTTTAAATATAGGCATTACACGTGACAGTTTCCAGAAATTTGGGAACGCAGCTGACTTTATTATCACATTAAAAATAGCACATAGGGGAGATGCTAATGCATTAAAGGCTGGAATTAAATCAGGTCTTATTGTCATAGATGACTTCAATTATTTTATAGCATTTATGACTTCGTTCTCAGAGAACTTTAATAGGTTTAAATTGGGAATATCAATGTAAGCGGTATTTCTCTATACTCCCCACCATACATTCTTGAAGTCCATACACATGCGTGTCAGGATGGACGAGCGGGAGAAGACAGACCAGCGCAGTGGGTAGTACGCTAATAGACAGTGGCAATACCACAGCAACATTGTAATTGAGAATACTTGATCGTGAAATAAACCATTGAAAAAGCAGTTTAGACATTTTTATTAGGGATGATACATCCCTTGCGTTTATATCAGAAGTGAGATCACTACGCGTACCGTGGCTAATAGACTATAATTATTAATTTCAGTTGAAGTTAGTGCTAGTGATAATGGCGGACGAAAATCCTGAATTTCGCGACAGTGCGTCAGCAGAACACAATGTCGGTCGATGTTAACGACAATATGAATGGACACAGTTCAAAGCGTGCTAAATTTAAGTGGCAGGAAACATTATTAAACTTTGTAGCAGCCCAAGAGTAATAAATTGCTGATTTAATTCAACATTCCAAGATGGCTACGTAACCGTTCGCCAAGCCAACGCCCAGAGTTGTAGGAGCAGATTAATCTACCACGCAAGCGCCAACATTCGCGCCTGTGCACTATTTTCGACTTACCAGCTATGACCCTGACGATAGCGCATATTCCATAAACGAATGGCTTAAGTGAGGATAACCAAAATAAAAAAACGAACTCAGCGTTAGAGATAACTTCATGGTCGCTAAATTGAGCAAAGCATCTAAGAATCGCGGTTATTGTTATTGTTGTGACTGGCGACTTCTTTCTCGAACGTGGCAAGACTTTGTGATGACCTAATTGTTGCATTCGCTGACAAGAAAACACCAGCTGCTCGTGAATACAAGGCTTCGCTTCAATGCAATGATTCTAACTCATTGTGTGATTGTGAAAATCAAAAATTGTGGATCATCACTAAATTTTATAATGCTTTGCTGTGGCATTCAGTTCCGGTTTAGACAATTCAAAAGCCAAATTCCAAACGTGAGTGGTGAGCTCATAAAATTACTAAATTAATTTGATGCGATTCGTGTTGACCTCGAGAATGACGAAAAATGCAGATATCATTAGAAACTCAAGAAGTCAGTTTAAAGATCGACGAGAAGCCGAACGTTTCAAGCCAAACAAAATCTTAAATGTACCTTCCTTTAAATGAGACCACCAGAGACACCAACAAAATCTATGTCGGAGAATATAACAGGCGAGTACATTTAACGCGGTTATTACTCATAAAAAAATCCGACAGTATTAGTGCATTAATTGTAAAAAAATGGGCCAAGCCGAATCCAATTGTTGGTATAAACAACAAAGCCTAAGAAAACATTTGCGTTAAAAAAAAGTGACGCTATCTAAATTCGACACCGATAGCCATGTTATTATACTGTGAACAAACTCAGTCATTAAAATACCTTATTGAGAGTGATGTTGACAGTTCAATAATTAAACATTTCGTAGTAAAAACATTAACAGAAACGAATAGGCCAGCTGATCCATGTGCTTTTGTTATGAATTGGAACTCAATGTTTAGAATATCGATCTTTGTGATTTTGCCGACTATTACGTTAGAGGTCGTTCCAAATAGTGTGATTCCTGAAGATTATTAGAAGCAATGTCATATGCCGACCTTGTTTAGGTGTTGAGAAAAATGTCAACACGATTAAGTAACATCAAGACCTGCTCAACATTCCTAGTGTTTACAATAAAAAATGGAACGATATGAAAATTAATCGATTAGAATTAATAGACACCTTTAAAATACAAGTGAAGAATCTTTTAATATTTTACAAGAATAAAACTCCTGACCACATAACTACCGGAAAATGTCAATTTAGATTAAAATGCAGTACTCCAGTAGCGTATCGACGAAGGCGATTAGCGTATCAAGACAAAATTCAGCAGAAGAAAATTATAAACAGTGACATTATCCGCAGAAGTCACTTAAAATGAAGGTGGGTAAGGTTTTCTGGATTTTCCCCATCTGTAAGTCAAATGGCAGTCATCTTTAAGTCGTCCCGGAGCGTCAATACAAATAAAAAATGATAGCCGTTCTTTCCACACACAAGCTCAGTCAACTTTGGAGATTGAAATTCACTCGTAAGTACAAGAGGTGAATTAGGGAGAGTATTCCTGTTGTATTATAAAATATAAAAGTCCTATTGTGCTATTAAAAAAAAAAGGTTTTGAAGATCAAATTAATGCTTTTAAAATATTTTACCACGTTGAACATGAAGTCAAGCTTTTATCAAATGGAAATAGAAAAAAGTTCCAAACAGGTAACTGCTTTTGTTACTAAACCTATTGCATACTATAGTCGCCGTACGACTGACTGATTGTGAATCAAGGTTATATTTTTACAATCTAAAGACTTGTTATAGTGGAAGCGGTTGAACACTTTCGTGTGTATCTGTACAGTGTGCATTCAATAGTATATACAGACTAATTCGGTTCGAGAAAAAGCTGTAAACAAATTATATACGCGCGCGGCGCGTTGATGTGATAAGTTATAGAATTAAAACTTTTCTATTGAGTACCACCCTGGACATAAAATGTAACATATAGAATATTAAATAAATCCAGTAAATTATGTAAGCGAGTTAAACGTGTGCCCGTTAAAAACAATAAACAAACAAACAAACAAACAAACAAAATTACCGATAAGCATACGCTCCGAGATGTCCAGCAAAGTGATACGATTTGTCATCAGATAATTAATAAGCCGGTCTTTGACTTTGACCTACCTAATTGTTAAATAGGACAACTATAAAAAAATCTCCGAAAATATTGTATGTTCATCGCAGCGCGATTGTTTGTTTATTCTGACTTTATTTTTATTGTTTTATACTGGCCGAAAATGGGCCAGTGCTTTAAAAAAAATACATCACTTGACGTGAATTTTGGTAACATGGAGAAAAGTCACATAACATTTTAGACACATAGTATATTAATCATGCAGGTTCTTTAGTGAACTCTAGTGGTTGTATTCAAATATTAGTTATAATCGATGCATTTTCAAAATATTGCAAGCTAGAAACAATTTCTAAAGATTCCATATGTTGTCTAATATCAATTATTGAAGAAATGAGAAAACCAATATGAATTATTATAGCTGCTGCATTTAATTCAATAACTTACAAAAACTTTCTTAGTAAAGCAGATTGATTATAAAGTAACCGAAGTGCCACGTGGAAATGGTAGAATGTGTAATGATTAACTCTCTTTAAATTATTATGAGCAACACTCTTAGCAGACAAAGAAAACCAGTGAATAGCAGTAGAAGAGGCCGTCGTAGTATCATAAAAATTGATGACCGTTAAACCAAGGTGAACGATTCAATGAAACTAGGCGTCGAGTCACATTATCTAAGCCAGGCGATATCGTGGCAATTGAAGATTCACAGCTCACAGGTGGAGGAAAATTGAGGCCAAAATACAAAGGGCCTTACACAGTTGGAGAGGTATTACCACATGAAATATATCAAATTCACAAAAAGCGACAGCGAATAACTGTAGCCACTCAAGATTAGTTGCTATGGTCATCGAAGTAATTATAAAAAAGGTGAGTGGAAATCCCACAATATTAAATTAAAATAATTGTTTTTGTTGATTTATGGTGGAAATCGCACCAAATTTAACTAACTAAATTATGATAATAAATAAACACTAGGGTTTAGTGTTGTAGCACTAGTGTTTAGTGTTAGGGTGGCAATCCCACCAGATGTTCCTGAATAAATCATGATAAATTAACACTAGGGTTTAGTGTTGTAGCACTAGTGCTTAGTGTTAGGGTGGCAATCCCACCAGATGTTCCTGAATAAATCATGATAATAAATTAACACTAGGGTTTAGTGTTGTTGCACTAGTGTTTGGTGTTAGGGTGGCAATCCCACCAGATGTTCCTGAATAAATCATGTTAAATGAACACTAGGGTTTAGTGTTGTAGCACTAGTGTTTAGTGTTAGGGTGGCAATCCCACCAGATATTCCAGAATAAATCATGATAATAAATTAACACTAGGGTTTAGTGTTGTAGCACTAGTGTTTAGTGTTAGGGTGGCAATCCTACCAGATGTTCCAGAATAAATCATGATAATAAATTAACACTAGGGTTTAGTGTTTTAGCACTAGTGTTTAGTGTTAGGGTGGCAATCCCACCAGATGTTCCAGAATAAATCATGATAATAAATTAACACTAGGGTTTAGTGTTTTAGCACTAGTGTTTAGTGTTAGGGTGGCAATCCCACCAGATGTTCCAGAATAAATCATGATAATAAATTAACACTAGGGTTTAGTGTTGTAGCACAAGTGTTTAGTGTTAGGGTGGCAATTCTACCAAATGTTCCCAAATAAATTATGATAATAAAGTAACACTAGAGTACAGTTT